CCATATTCATGAATAATTATATTGGACATACCACTACATGCGTATCCAAGAAGACCCATGTTACATCTCTCTGGTCATAGCTCAGTTAGGACTGATTTAAACACACATGGGAACCTACTAAACTCCATCTGCATTATACTCATAGAAAATACAACTATAATAGCCTAATCCATATGTAAAAAAGCTAATAACAATGGAAGCATTAATAATAAAAAAGAAAAAGCCAACACTCAATAACATCAACTATGAGAACAGTCACAATTGTGAAGAAATTGACTGTTGGTCAGGCGAGAAAGGAGCAGTGTACTTGTGTTAGTGAAATGCTTATTAAACAAAAGCTTGTTATTTTCTGTACTAACCCTGTATAGTTACAGTGGTCAAGTGACAGGGTTACCATCTGATTCCCAAATTTGCATAAAAGCAGAAGAGGAAATCTACCTTTTTATTTATTATTAAATTTACCTTCCAGGTTATCAGATGATTATGCCACAGAAAAGTGGCAATATATTTTGCAACTCAAGGTAAGCGCTATTGCTTTTTTTTTTCCTCAACCTGATCAGCTTCTGCATGTTTTGGGACTGGGAGGATTTTCTCAACACAATGTGCTATATTTGGAAAGTAAAAAATATTACGATCATTATAGATACACATTTATAAAAAAATTATATATTCAGTTAAAAATTAAAAAAACATCCTTGTTTATTTACAAGAATAATTTTATATTTACAATATTAAAAACTAATGCAGTTAAAACTAATGCAATACAATATTTATCATTTATCAATTTATAACAAAATAAAAGTGAAAACAATTTTTTATTCATAAATTTATAAACATCTACTAGATTATTAAAATATGTGAACCAACTATAAGGAAATCCTTATTATTTACCATTTTATAAAGTTTGAATCAATTGGCAATTAGCCGATGTTTTGCTAACCATTTAGTGTAAAAAAGAATCTCATCAATACATATTGTTTATTATTTTTGTTGTCAATTCTCAAGAACAAAGAAAATGTATAAATTCACTTTCATTTAGGCTTTTCAAATCATTACTTTTTAAGGCAATAAACATTTCTGAACAATGAAGCTAGTTAAAAAAAAGTGGTATCATGGGAAAAACCGTCCTTTTGACACTTCATCTTATTGCGAGCACGTTTATCCATGTTTGCCAAGACAAAATACTTGTTCTTTACTTTCTCTTTTCATGAGACAATTGATAAAAATGTGTATCAGCAACCTAACTCAGATATGGGTTAAAAGTTCACTTATCTGATCAATCAATTGTGTAGGAAACCAAACACTGACAGTTAAATGTCAGAACTTTTCAGATAGACTGGCCCATGGCCGGTGCAAAGGTCTCATGTCCCCAGCCCCGAATCTATAATACGCCCCACCCATTCACTGCATCTAAATTTTCATAAGGTAGTATTCATAAAAATAAAATGCAACTTTTTATTGTAAATATGGATCATATTCAATATAGGTGAACAATTCAGCTAGAAAAATTGAAAATAAATACAATACAATGTATCGAAATACAAATTAGTAGAGACATGTAGTCTATGGAATGATCTACATGTAGTTCATTCCATAAATAAATCAACAATGCTTTGCGCCAATTTTTAAGATCAACTTGAAATTTCTCTTGGTAAAAAATTGATTAATTTACATTCAACATTATGGATAAAAAAATAGTGAATTTTATATAGTACTAGCAGTAGAGCCCGGCATTGCCCGGTGATGTAACAGTAAGAGATAAATCAAGTATAAAGACTGAAAAATAAAATTGACAAAGATTATTGTTTAAGGTTGACAGACACGCATGTCTTAATTAGTTTTTTTTTTGTTTTTTTTGTTTTTTTTATGAATTGGTCAAACCCAAACTCAAACAAAAACATTGTTTTCAATCGTTATGAGTCTATTGATTGAATAGAATTTTATTATAAACAATTGTCTTGTAAATGGAATTTTTAAAGCATTCTGAATGTAAAAATAAAGAAAAAAGTGTGCAAGACAATAAGAAACACTACTTGCCAAAAAAAAAGTGAAGTTTTGTTGAAATCGGTTGAAAAATGTAGGAAATCCGATCCCATATATAAAGGAACACACACACACACACAAACAACCTGGGTTTTATGATACGTATAACGCGATATGAGTTGTCCCCCTTTCATTCTGGCGACAGAGTCGTGTTTTATCGTGTTTTCAAATTGATTTCGTGCAAAAACAATTGTGTTTTTCCAATTTTTGGCGCTGTCAGAATCACCGCAAGGTAATTTTACGCAGTCCTGTGAAGTTTTGTTGAAATCAGTTGAAAAATGTAGGAAATCCGATCCAATATATAAACGTACAGACACACACACACACACACACACACACACACACACACACACACACACACACACACACACACTGCGTTTTATAATAAGTAAGATTTAAAATTTTAAACATGGGTAAACGCAAAACAAATTCACGGATTTGGACAAAACAAAAATACCCTAGAATCCTGGAATCCAGTTTAACGTCAAAAAATCCACGAAAGTTTTTCATTTTTATCCTTTACATTTAATTAATCAGTTGCCCTTATTTTTTTTTTTTTTAATTTGTAACGTACATTTATATAATATAAATGTAGGTACTAAAATGCAAATGTTGATAAGCACTGCCCGGGACTCTCAATCAGACTGCACTCGGCCAGGTAGTTCGTGCCTCCTGGGCTAGCCCACTCATAAAATAGAGAACATTTTATTTTTGTGGGAAAATAATTTTTACTGATTATCATTCTTTCTTCCTTAGGCCGTGACACTTGTAGGAACAGAAAAAATGTTTTATTATCGATTTAGAAATGGGTCCTGTTTATTTTTTTTTATTCTGACAAGTGTCGTCACACGGTCAAAAGTTGCTCGACACAAATTACACCCCCCCTCTCACACCGCAATTTCTTCTAATTTTTTTATGAGCGGACCAATCTGATTTGTATACGTTTATGATTTTAAAAATTTTGTTGATTATTTTAAAAATAGTTTATTGACAGTCGTTTGTTAAAAAAGTTTTATAAGAAATTTTATATTTTTAAACTTACTTAAATAATGACATATTACCAATAATTATATAAGGCATAACATTTAATGATAGAAAAACGAATAGAATTAATGATAAAAGGTGCAACTATTTTAAGAAAATAACAGCCCTTGACAAACGATAACACATGGTCATATGCTATCACTAAGAACTTGATTTCATGAGTTACCGGACTTGATAGGAATTTATATGGCACGTTGCTGAGTTTTGGCACAAGGTCATAAAGTTATGGTACACTCACTGAGGATCAAACTCAGTACATGATGTAATTTAGGTTGTAAAACTACTCAATATAGCAATAATAAACCAGACTAGCTACATTATTCCATAAGGAAACCCTCGTGTAGATACTTTGAAATTATTCATAAATAAAAAATAATTGTAAATAAACATTGTATTTTCAATTTTTCTACTTGAAGTGTTTTGCATATGATCCATATAAAATTTGTATTTTATGAATACTACCTTATAAAAGTTGATTGAGATATAGTGGGGGAGGGCTCGTATCATATATGGGGCCGTTACAAGATGCTAAAACGTGTTCATGTTGATACTTTAAATAAATTTAAATTAATAAATTATTTATTAATTTAAACTATCTATATCTCAATTTTTATAAGGTAGTATTCATAAAATAAATACAAATTTTATATGGATCATATGCAAAACACTTCAACTAGAAAAATTGAAAATACAATGTAAAAATCTAAAATAAATACAAAGTAGATTAGTAGATGATTAGAGAGATAGAGAGATAGAGATAGAGAGAGATGTCAATAATCATCATTCCATAAATAAATCAACAGTGTCACTGTTTTGCGACAATTTTTAACATCAACTTGAGATTTTTCTTGTTAAAAAGTTGCACATTTATTATGGATGAAAAATAGTGAATTTTATTAATGTTTTGTCGAAACTTAGCATAAGCAAAAAAGAAATTCACGAATTTGGACAAGAAAACAAGAATGACGTCAAAATCCGAGAAAGTTTTTCATCCTTGTCAGTTCTTAATTTGTAAAATGTAACGTATATAAATGTAGGTAGAGAAAAGCAAATGTTGATAAGATAGCAAGGGTCATCAAGCACTGCCCGGGGCCCCCCGATCAGGTTTGCATCCATGGTCGAGGGGTTCGTGGTTAGTACGCACTGACCCTGATGAAAAATTATATTTTTCTTTTTTCTTACAAAACTTAATATTAGGTTGCTAAGATAATTTGTGACATTTTTACTTGATATTTTTCTTAAATTCCATTTTCCGGCTGCATGCACTTAGAAAGAAGTTTCATACTACAAAAATTATTTCAATTAAAAAAAATCCAACCAAAGCATTTATTTTCGCGAAAAAAACAGAGGTACCTATTATTATAAAATTTAAAAATCATTATGACATGAGAATCCTATTTTTTAAACTGATTTTTGAAACTGTCATTTTGATTTACAAGAACAAGATAGAACAATAAGGGAAATATATTCATCCACATTAATCCATTTTAAATACATTTTTATTTGTTATACAGAAGACTTTATTTTTTCAGTTTATTTATTTTTGATTTCCCGTTAAGAAAAACAAAAACAACAAAAAAGAAAAGTTTCGATTCGTTTTTTTACTTATTTTTGCGTCTCTCAAGGAGTTTTTAAACACTTTGAAAAATATTTTTCTCGTATAAGTTTTTTTATCAATAAGAGCCTTATGAAATGAATAACAAGTCTCTGAGTTCGAAAACTGTTCTCTGAAATAAGGTCATAGTTCATAAAATCAAATCTTAAATTGAATATCCCATGACCTAATCAACATCAATCATAAGACAACAAATTGAAGCTTGGCTGACGTCAGGGACAGGGACGTACGTCGTGGTGGTAGCTATAAAAGGACAAGTAACCACGTTTCGAAGAGCATTTCGAAGATGGCGAACAACATGCTGTTTTTTGGGATGATCGTAGTAGGTGAGTTGATTAGTTTAAAGAAATTGTATTTCTTGAATATTTGCGGCTTATTTATTATTTTTCTTTTAAAGAAAGCTTTTTAATTGAAGACGGTATACATTTAGAAGAGGTCTTCCATGTGATTATGTGAGAAAGTATTTTTTTTTCCTTTGAGGAAATGAAGGATTAAGAAAAGAAAACAATAAATGGGAATCTGCGTCAGTGCCTTTTTTTATTCGATTGTTTTTTGCGGTTAAAATTAAGATGTATTAAATTAAAATAAATAAACGGAGGAATTTAAATCTTGGGGCATCTACTTGAAAAACTGAATGAATTATTATATTCTGTGTGATTTTATTTTATATTTGCGCATTAAAAAGTCGTCTTAAAAATGAATCCTCAATTTGTTTGTTTTGCTAAGTCCTATTATTTGTTTTGGAATAAAACATTTTAGAAAGCATATGACATTTATATTTTCGTTTTTAAAATAATTTTGATGGTAAAAGTAGCTGTTTGTTTTGATTAAATGACTTTTTACAAATTATACGAATTTATTTTTTGGTGGTACTGATATTTTATTTTATTACTAAATTAATTCAAAATATTTTATTTTCCTGAACAAACAGTTTGTAAAATCTTGTAAAAGTGTTTTGGAATTGGATCACGGGTTAGGGTTCTTAAAATTAATCAAGAGCAGTTAAAAATCAACATTTATTTTTAACAGTTAAATAAAAATAAGTGTTTTTTTTTTTTGTTTTTTTTCTTGCAATGAGCATCACTAATTTTTAAACTTCTCTCAAAATCTTTTTTAAAAATATTGAAACAAATATTAAAAAAAAAAAAATGAAGGATCGTTTTGTTTTCTTGGGTTATATTTTGTGTAGTGTACATAATTATTTGATTTTTAAATATTTTCAGGTGGTTAAAAAAGATCAATCGGGAAGAAGTCGATTGACATGTGCTACAACCACCTCATCGCACTTGGCGAAACATTTTGTCTACTCACACCAGAAAAAAAAACAAAAAAACTCTGAAGTTTAAATCACGAGACATTTGTTACAAAACCGGTTCTCTTGTATTTGTTAAATTATCATTTTCTTGTTCTGTTAATTAACTTTTCCCTACTGGAGACAGATTTATTTTGTTTAAACTGGAATTGAAAAGTAATAAAAATGAGGAAACTCAGAAACTAGTCAGTTTACAATTTACATTATTAGTTTAATTAATATTAATTAAAAAATGTGTTTTTGTTGTTGTTCGTTGTACTTTAAGTTGAGAATTAGTTGTAAGATCTTGTGATCACCAACAAAAAACATTTTCCACTGTTTATTTATTTTTTTTTGTTGCTACTTCTTTTTAGTGCAAAGCTAGTGATTGTAGTCAAGAAACCTTTAACATTTTTTTAACAATAATATTTAAAAGTTTTTTTCTTTTTAAATCTTTCATTTTTGTTTGTATTTTTTGTGTGGGTATTATTATTTTTGTTATTTGAGTTTTTTTTTTTTTTTTTTTTTTTTTAACTGTCATCTTCAGAAATCAGATGACATCAAGTCTTATTTTTCCAATACTTTATTTTTTAGCTGATTTTCTTACGGCGTAATTACTGTCATTTTTGAATTTTGATGATTTCGATTCTTCCTCAGTTTTTTTTTTTTTTTTTTTAATTTATTTGGAACTGTTACAAGCATGCTAATAATGAATAACAACTTCCTATTCACAGCCTTTTTTTCAGTTATGTCCGGATATTTTCCCAGCTTTCTTCAAATTTTTTTACCTCCTTTTTTTTTTTTTTAACTTTAGTTTTCACATATGCAGTGAAAAAAAAAATCCGGTCTTCTGGCCTTTATGTGAATGAGTTGGATTTCATATAGCTCTGATTTTCAGTCCTAAGGTAGCAACGCCTCTAAAATATGAATAAACACAGACATAGCAAACAATAACAACTATTTATTAGGCGGAACACTGGAAAAGAAAAACGGATTTTGTCAATAATTTTCGATGTGGAAACGACACATCGGTCATAAATTGGAAGTGTACACTTTTGGGAGTATATTTGGTTTTAGTATTTGAAGCTCATACAAATAAATTCAATTATCTATCAGTGAAGTGTTAGTTTTTGTCTCGGGTTCTTTATCTGGGAGTAGCGAGTGGAATTTTATGGCACCAATGTCTTGTTCCTGGTCTGTCAATGTGGTTGCTTTCTTCTATCTCCTTATCACCATTTGTCTAAAAGTAATTCTCCTCTGCTTATATAGGTAGAGATAAGCTCAACTTGAACAAAATTTTAGATTCTCGATCTTATGTTTGTTTGACCAATGTTGAATCGTTAATTCTGATTTGCTGATTTTGTTATTTTACTGAAATTATGTCTGCATGTTGTTTATGCTACAGTGTCTAAGTAACTAATGCTTTAATCCTGGCTACATCTGTCCGTGTGTTGGAAAATATCTTTTAGGTTTTTGGAAATTTGATAGAATCATGATCCAATTAATGGTCACTCATCAGTCTCTATTATTCATCTTCATCCAGTCTTATTTTTTATTTCTATTTAGTCCTTAGTTTGAGATGCCAAAATCAAGCAAGTGAGAAAATTTAAATATCTGGGAGGTGTTTTAACAGAGGATAGAAAATATGACCCTGAAATCTGAAGATGCATTGGAATAGGAAACTATACCTTCCACAAACAAAGAAAAGTAATAAGAAATGGGAAAATTTTGCTAGAAACAAAGAAAAAAGTGCTGGTCTGTTATATAAGACCTCCTGTATGTAAGTGAATGTGGGACAATCTCATCAAAGTTGAAGAAAAGACTTGAGGGAACAAAAATCTGGTTCTACGGATGGATGCTAAGAATACCACGGTTTGAACAATAACAAAATTTTAGAAAAAATGGAAACAAAAGACACTTATGCTTAACATCAGAAATTTCTAGAGCACATAAAGAAAGAGGGCTTGGAAATTTGACAATCCCAAGACATATTGAAGGCAAGAGGGACAAAGGAAAGCAGTACATCTACCTAATGAGTTTGTGTAAATGTTTGGTATAATGGGGATTAGGAGTGATAGTGAAAAGACAAAGTTTACTAGGACCTACAAAGGACAAGAAATTGTCGTGAGCCATGATCACCCATGTCCTGAAGGGACAAGGCACATGAAAGAAGCGTCTATGCATATGTTTACGCATTACTTATAAAAGGACCGTTACAATAAATTTAGGTGTCTGCACAGTTAACCTCTGTCTTTTGTAAGATAAAATTGCAGATTTCCAAAGTGAACATCCAATTCCAAAATGGATGCCTACTTGTATAGTAGGCATCCATTTATCTCATGAGATAAAGGTAATGCCATGTTTGGTCAAAATTCAGTCCTTTGGTGGTGTGACCTCTCCATATCACAGGCCTGGGTAATGGTATATGGAAGCTTTGCGCTACATGGCCCCCTTCTTGATCATACCAACAAGATCCAAAGGAATACAGGGAGACATTTGGAGATGGCTTGGCTGCAGGACAGAAAGGTGTCAGTGTTGATTGTCAACCACCTTTGGGGGTTCCACTCTAGGTATTCTGTGTTTGGAGATAGCTGCAAGACAGAAGAGGTTAAAAATCAGGGTTTTCTTTCCCCTAGATGTAATACCTTACTGGGCTGTCAAGCTGCATTTACCTGAAGCAGCTAGTTATGAGGCACCAGTTGTCCCCTTTCATTTATTCTCTGGCTTGGAGCTGGTCTTAGTATAGGATGATAGAATCTCATGTAAAACCATAACTTTAACATCTGCTTTCAGCTAATATTTTTGAATGTATCTTCTGTGAACTATTTTCTTGTTGAATAAAATCAGTGATAATGCCACTAGGATGCAAGGGATTACTGGGAGTGAAAGAGATTAAGACTTTAGTGAGGAGAAAGGACAATACAAGAACAGGAAGACAGAAGATGATTGATGTTACATTTAAATGTTTGAAGATTGTAGGTGGCAGTGAAGCAAGAAATCATAAGGTAGTTCCACAGGTGAGGAGTGTTAGAATAGAAGAGATGGTTGCATTTAGTTAGTTCAACAGTAAAATGGTGAGATCTAGCTGTCAATCTAATAGCATGCTTAAATTCATGAACTTGAGGCACCAAGGAGGAAAACTCATCAGAACAATTGCCATGAAAATATTTGTAGAAAAAACAGAGGGAAGCCATAGCATGTTAGTGAGAAAGTGACTGATGTCAAGATGTCAGGATTGATTTCATTAAAGACCCTTCTTTGAATTTTTATCAAGAATCTTGTGATATACAGCAGGACCTGGTATGGCAGTAGTATTCAGTGCATGAATGAATGGTAGATTTATAAATGTTTTTGAAGTTACTTATCAAGTGAGAATTTCAAAATATCAAGCAGCTGCTATTATAAATTGAGATAACCAAAACACACAAGACACATGTTCACTGTGTAAGGTTTGACAGTTTATTATTATTATTATCTTTTGTTTTCTTATTATTACAATCCTTTACCAGACCCAAGACCTGGAGTAAGCCAAAGCCATAGATATGTATATACATTCTGTTTGTACAAATTCTGATGTAAAGTGATATTTAACATATACATTGTTTATATTTTGTTGACATTAATACTACTCTCCTGAGTTGATGAGTAGTCCCATATGACACAATTCTTTGGTATATGGCTTACAAGGAATCTTAACATGATTGTCTCTACCTTTCTTGATTTCCAATTATTATAGATATAACAATTTTATTGTGCCATATTTTTTTTAATGTCAAGATACTTATATATATGTATATGTACATATTTTGTGATGTTCTTTAACACATGTATTTTTATTTGATGGCAGTACCATATAAAAAATTGTCTTCATGTGAGAAGACAAATTTTTGTTTGTAGACTTTGATCACTATATCTGGTCTCTTATCCTTTTTTTTTTTTAATATCTGTCAGCATGAATGGTAAAGCCTTAAAGAACAATGAATTCATGACCTAGTTCAGTGTGATGTTCATACCATTTTTCAGCATGTGACACAT